CTTGCTGCTTTAAAGTGCCTTAGATTTGTGATTTTACTGCCTATTTAGATTTGTGTCACTCATCTACTTTATTTCACTTGTATTATGTGGCATTTGTGAGGACGGCAAAGTAAGAGTTTTATTGTACAGAGAAACACATTTCCTAACTGTGCATATGACAAATAAACACTTTGACCTTTGACCCTGACCTTGTGACAAACTGTACAAGGCAAACAGGAACCTCTAATAGCTAATCCAGCATTATTATGATAGTTCCCGTTTGTATATATGTAGTGTAACTCACAGACACTATGGCAATGTTGTCCTACAACTATTACAACCTCAGCCTGCTCAGTGGGAGAAGTTTGACAATATTCAATATTTTTGTTATTGTCACATGAAAAGACCAAAATCAATAACATCCTAGCCTGTCTCTTAAACATATCATCAGTTTCTTATCAACATAATCATTGAAAATGATAATGGTGTCTGGTCATATTGTCCACGTCTGAATTCTATAATATCCTCAACTCTATGATCTAATAATTAAGATTAATTAAATTATCAAATACATATCTTAGATATCATTCAGTTGCATTTGTTTATTAAAACAATTTCGAACTACTAATTGGCCTACATGAGCTCACAATTGCCTCATTGTTGCTGAATTATTTTGATCTAGTGGCTTTAAAATATTTTATCTAAAATAAATTATTATTATTATATAAAATAAGTTATCTAAAAGGGAAAAAATATGTTTTTCAAATTATGTCCATATTATAAATTTTATTTCGGGGTATTTCCGCTGTTCTGACCAGGGAACTACGAATAAGAAACCAACTTCAGCTTCATCTAAGCGCTTCACGTCCGCTGCAGCAGGAGGGTCTGTTACTCCGGCGTTTTGTCATGACCTCTCCTTATTTCATGCAGAGCAGGTCTGTTGTTACTCGGAGTGGAAATCGAACTGTGGCTTCTCGAAGGTCCAAACTTACCAAGAGACGGACAAAACCGGATACGGTTTCCTCTGTGGATGTAAAGGTCGAAGTGGAGGAGGCGAGGATCTCTGAGCAGAGACCCTCCTCATTAGCTGAACATAAGACACCGGTGGTATAAACGTGTGGAAACGCAGGAACTGTCATGCATTAGCTACTAAAAGGTTATTGCGCCTGCGCAAAGGCTGGGAAAGTTGTTCTTTGGTTTTGTTCACTGTATAGCACTGTGCATGTTACCATTAAAGTTGTTGCAGACTAGACTTTATTTCATCTGACAACATCAGCATTCAAAGGGTAATGCAGTGGTGGAAAGTAAGTAGAGAAAAAATACTTAAGTACAGATTAAAGGTGGGCCTAGTTGTACTTATAGATAGGCCTATATTATTTTTTCACTTCTTTGTATTTTTTATATCTTTACTCAGAATTATTTGATAACGTTACTTACATCATTTAACACGTTTACTTCAATGCTGTATATGGAGCCAGACATAAAGGGAAAGATAGAGAGTAGACAAGGGCAAACATACTCACTTTAGTGTTACATTTTTCACCTCAGAGCAAAATGTGAAGTAGTACTCGTGGACCACGTGAGTCGCGTGTGTCCAGGTCTGTATATCTGCAGGTTTACTGCTCAGCGGGTTTACTTGTAAAGCAAAGTCCTCAAAGTGAGTCTCTGAGCTGTTGCAGGACCATGGAGGAACTGGCACGGGAGAGCATCAGCCTGCTGGCCCGGTCCGCGTCTCATGCGGACCCACCGCGGCTCGGCTCTTTCGGCGCGGTGTTCATCATGCTGAAGTCTGCGCTGGGAGCCGGACTGCTCAGCTTCCCCTGGGCTTTCGAGAAGGCGGGGGGAGTGACCATTGCCATCAGTGTGGAGCTGGTGAGTACGTGATCAAACACACCTGCATCGATAGATAACTCCTGGTTTTGCACCCACAAGTCCCCTGCATGAGAACATTGCTTATATGTTCATGAACAAGCAGGCACTTTAACCGATTGACCTGTAACATTAAATATCATGCTGCTGAGGGGATTTAGGTGGTTTGTATGTCACCCCCATCTCTCCTCGGTGTGAAAGAGGCAGATCTATTTCACAAGTGCGCTCTAATGAAGCTTCCAGTTTGGATGGACCTGATGTGCACGGACTCTGCCGACTGCCTGGATACCAAGAATGGAAGTGACAGTTCCCTTTGGGAAATCAGAGGGTTCAGTGTCGTTCAGTTTTTTGCTCTTGATCTTAGTTCAAGTCCTTTTATATTCAGTGTCTACTGATACTAAATATTTATGTTTTTTCCCCTACAATCATAAAGCAACACAGTACAAACTATAGTAAGCCAACATAAAAATTGATAAAGCAATTAGAATTTGACCGCAGAATAATATTTGCTATAGGAAAATATATTGCATCATAGTTTTTAAAATATTTTTTATAGTGTTGTGTGTAATATGTCCATCTGCCATAGCAGGAAGCTTTAGAAAAAAATAGAACCGAGACAAGTAGCTGATTAATCGATTAAGTGATCATCAGAAAATTAATCTGCACGATTTTAATAATCGATTGTTTACATAATTTTTATGGAAAAAGAAATCACTGTGGGCAGCACAGTGACGCAGTGGTTAGTGCTGTCACCTCACAGCAAGAAGGTTCTGGGTTCAAGCCCGGACTGACCCGGTGCCTTTCTGTGTGCAGTTTGCATGTTCTCCCTGTGTGGATTCTCACCCGGTGATCTGGCTTCCTCCCACAGTCCAAAGCAATAGATGTGGGTGTGGTTGTCTGTCTCTTGGTGTCAGCCCTGTGATAGACCTGTCCAGGGTGGACCCCACCTCTTGCCCATGTCAGCTGGGATTGGCCCCAGCCCCCCCACAACCCTATTCAGGAATAAGCGCTATAGATAATGGACGGATGGAAATATTGCACTGATTCCATATCTGTAAATGTTTATTTGTGTCTCTTCTTGAATGTCTGTGATATTAAATAGAGTATCTTTGGGGTTTGGACTGTCAGTTGGACAATGGTTGGACTTTTGAAAATTCATGTGGGCATTTTTGAGTTTTTTTATGTTTATGGCCCAAATTATAAATCAATTAATAAAATAATACACAGATTATTTGTTAGTGAAAAGTAACTGTATGTTAGGGTGCGCTCGAACACAGTGAGCGAGCAGATAAAAAGCGGACCCAGGTGGCTGGCTTCAGTGCAAGCAGTAAGGTTTATTTACAGTGAAGGTAGTGACATATATACAGGAGGAGTAATGAGGTAGATGACCGGGTGTCGATCAGCAGCAGCAGAAAAACAGTCAGTGGTATGGTGGATGATGATGTACCGGGCTGCAGACGCAGAGGTCACTCCTGGGCTGGTCGAGGTGGAGGTGATGATGGCTGTAGACAGAAGAGCAGGGATAAACTGGGTAAGGGAGACTGTGCATCGACCTGGGAGGCGGTGGCTGGTGGTGTAGATTAAATCCAGGGGGGTCCAGAGGAGAGGTCCGAAGAGGAAGAAGACACTAGAGACGGCAGGGCAGGATAACGACTAGGGTGCTAACAAGGACTAGAGAGAACAAAGACAATCTTAACATAATCTTGACAAAACAACATAACAACCACTGGCCTGAAGACAGAGAAAGAACTGGCAGGGGAGTGACTGGTGAACAGTGTATAAGTATGGAGGAGACTAATGAGGTGCAGCTGGTGAGTAATCAGGGAAGCGGGGCAGGTGTGTTGAATGGTGTAATCAGTGCAAGGGCTAGGCTAGTGTGAGGAAAAAGAAGAGAGGAAGGTGGAGCTGGGCAAACCTGACACTGTAGTAAGTTAGAGCTCATAATCTCTGTGTGTGTTTTTGCTAATATCAGCTCAGTCTGTGAATGATGACATGGGTGAGCTCCTCTCTTTGGCGCTTTTGCAGGTATGCCTCATATTCCTCATCAGTGGTTTGGTTATCCTTGGCTATACATCATGCGTGAGCAGACAGAAAACCTATCAGGATGTGGTGAGAGAGGTGTGTGGGCGAGCAATGGGTCAACTCTGTGAGGTCTGTTTTTGCTTCAACCTCTTCATGGTGTCTGTGGCCTTCCTAGTGGTGGTGCAAGACCAGCTGGAGAAATGTAAGTCACACCAGAACAACCATCATTATATTGTAATGATGTGGTGTGTGTCATTACTTGCAACAGCCCTTGTTGTTCATGCTTATGATTTTAGTTACCTATCTCTCTGTCAAACAAATTTCAACGTCACTGTGGTGATCAAATGATTTCCTCCTCTTGTTTATGTGTTGCACATGCTGCTTCAAATTTCTATGATTGTCACACATTCATGTTACATGAGGATGAGCTGATGGAAAGCTAGAGTATCAATACTACTGATGCTAAATCTTGAGTATCAGTACTTGTGTTGGTAGGACTGACACCAAAACAACAGATCCACCACTTAAAATTGCATTTTGAGCAGATGAGAACATCTCATTAGCAAATTCATACAATTAACATCTTATTTAAAAGCTGTCTTGTGTTGTAACATGCAGGAGATTCATTTTTTAACAAAGAATAGTAAAAAGACATGCCTTGTGTTTCTGAAATTTCTTAGAGGTACAAGATAATACATTAGTCATAAGTAGTATCAGTAAAGGTATTATAGGCACATCTAGCAATGATTCCGGTCCTGGTCTACCAGATGTCAGATTCGAACCAAATGTTGTGCCATTTCTCGCCCCTAACATTTACATGGTCCACACTGCTGTAAACACTCAAGAGCACAAAAACCATCCACAGCAGTTTTTGAGTTATTAATTAAAATAGATTATGTATTTTCATTACTATAGCTTAGATGAAGCTCTGACCATATTATAATACAACTTTACTGCAGATATTTCCTAAGGGTTTACTTATTTTGCCTCTCTATACACTGATATATATCCCCCTTAGCAGAACAGAACACATAAACTATTGTGTACTATGTACCAGGCCCCCATCACCAGCCAACTGTGCTTGTGATCAATTTAGCAGCCATCTCTCATATAAAAAAATTAATCTCCTTCAGACCACAAATAATACACACTTTAATTTTCATTTTAGCTGGTATTAGGGTAAATGTGACTGGGAGCATTAACAAACCCTTTTTCATTTTCCCTTTGTTGTTTTGTCCATCTGAAATAGAACATTTGATTGGATTTACAACCATGCCCCAAGCAAAAAAAAAAAAAAAGCATTTGATTGGAAATTGTGCTCTGAGCATAGCATAGACATCTTCACAACATTCACAGGGACATTCTGTTTTTGTTGTCCTTTATGTTGATCCACCAACTCCCCGCCATGCTGGACGGCACTACAGAACACTGTACACCAAAACAGCCAGACACAAGGACAGTTTCTTCCCCTGTGTCATCACAGTGATAAACACTTATTTCATGACTTTATAGCAGAATGACAGGGCATTACATTGTAAATATACCTTTTGTATATATCTATCTGATAAACTCCTTATAATCTGTGTGTATATAGTTCTATATTTATTTGTACTTTATTTTTGTTTTCCTAATGCACATTTTTTTTTTTTGTTTGCACATTCCTTGCACATTTACCGGAGTGAAATTCCTCATGTGTTCAACACACCTGGCCAATAAAGCTGATTTGGATTCTCATTCTGAACTTCAAAACATACATCATGCCATTAAAAAATCCCGAACTAGACTAGACAGCCTTTTAGGATTTGGTGAGTTTTATCCTGTATTTTCAGGCTGTATATTGATGCTGTCCTGTTGCAGAATTTGATGAGATTTTGTTTCTTCAGTGTGCATTTCTTTATATGTAACCGTGACTGGGATGAGTGAGGGAGAGGTGCCCTATCACTGGTACACCGACCAAGGATTTACTCTCTTCATCATTTGCCTCATCATCATCCTGCCACTGTCCATCCCAAAAGAAATCAGCATCCAGAAATACACAAGGTACACAGCACTTACCTGTGGTCAGAATGACTTCCAGCTGAGTGTATGATTTTATGTGATTTAACTGGGTTTGTCCTCCTGTCAGTGTGTTGGGGACACTGGCTGCTACATACCTGTGTGTGGCAGTGATTGTCAGATATTTCCAGTTGGGCAGCCACATGGCCATAATAACTCCAGAGCACAACCAAGGGTCAGTAGCGCAGTTAAAGAAAAAAACACATCACTGGCTCCCCATTTTCTGGAGCTGCTGTATCATGTGCATCAATGAATGTGTGTGCTCTGTGTTTTTCAGTGCAAGTTCTTGGACGTCAATGTTCAGTGTCGTGCCAACCATTTGCTTTGGATTCCAGGTAGGATCCTCCTCAGGCACATTAGAGGTCAAAAACAAACAGACATTCTCATTAATCTGTGCAATAATGGAAAGCAACTAAGTACATGCACTCAAGTACTGTACTTCAGTACAGTTTAGAGGTATTTGTACTTTGGGTATTTCCATTTTCTGCTACTTCATACCATGACTTCACAGCATTTTGTACTTTTTACACCACTACATTTATTTGAGAACTTTTCGTAGCAGATTAATAAAAAAAAAGCGAAATATTTATAAGACTTTATTGATCGATGATAGGAAATTCAGAAGGTACCCCGCAGTATGTAAAGTACTTCAAATTATTAGTAATTATTAGATTCAAAACCTACGATCATCAAAACAGTACATAAGGTGGCTGAGGCTCACGAGGTAGGGCAGTCGTCTCTCTGACCAGCAAGTTGGTGGTTCGACTCCCGGTCTCCCCGCATGCCTAAGTGTCCCTGAGCAAGACACTGAACCAAGAATTGCTCCCGGTGGCTTGACTAGCGCCGTTGTGTGGCAGCCTGTCGTTATTTGTGTGTGAATGGGTGAATGGTGTGTCATCTCCTGTAAAGCGCTTTGGCCAGTGCAACACACTGTGGAAAAATGCGCTATATAAATACAGTCCATTTACCAATATTATCTCCACCTATACCAGTAAATGTGAACACAATAATGCATCAAAAATTATAATCCAGTGACACACATTAATGTGAAATGTGTCATTCTGTATATTGAGTACCTTTGCTGTCTGTACTTCAAGTAAATTTTGATGTTAAATGGCTTTGTACTTAAGTAAAGTTTTGAATGCAGGAATTTGACTTTAACAGAGTATTTCTACACTGTGGTATTGTTACTTTTACTTCTGTGTGTGTTTGCAGTGCCATGAAGCCTGTATAGCGATCTATAGCAGCATGGAAAATCAGAAGCTCTCCCACTGGGTGGTCATCGCTGTGGTCTCCATGTTTTTCTGTTTGCTCATCTACACTCTAACTGGTGAGCTCACCTCTAAAACTTAATTTCAGTCTGGGCTCAGCTGAGAGCTGCTGATTATGTCTGCGCTCTCTGTCTCCAGGTGTGTATGGCTTCCTGACGTTCGGACAAGCTGTTGCTTCAGATATTTTGATGTCATATCCAGGAAATGATGTGGTCATGATCATTTCCAGGTTACTTTTTGGAATATCAATTATCACCATCTATCCCATCATCCTTCTTCTGGGGAGGTAAACGGCACCAAAGCTGAGTTAATTTGTATCATCTGTATTTTAACACCTAACATATTGTTGCTCTGTGTATGGAACAGATCTGTGATCCTGAACCTGATGTTACGAGTCCAAAGGCGTCGTCGGGGAATTGTCACTCATTCTTTTGAGAGTTACTGCAGAGTTGTTCTCACTGTGATCTGGATCTCCGTCACTTTTGTCATTGCCATGTTTGTTCCCGACATGGGCAAGGTCATTAGTGTCATCGGAGGAATCAGCTCCTTCTTCATCTTTATTTTTCCTGGTATGAAAACAACCTTAACTTAAATGTGTGCAGGTTGTGTATCTGTGTTTGTAGTGACATGGCTTTGTATTTATACATGGTTTATGCACCTGAAGTCACTTTAAACTGTGCTATCAATTAATTTACCATTTATTTTCTTGAAGAACTGATTAATCTTCAGGTCCATAGAATGTTAGCAGTGATTTTTCTGGGGAATTTTTATAAAAAAAAAAAATACATGACAACAAAAAATAATTTCTGTCAGTCAAGTGGTAGATGAATTTACTTATTATTTCAACTCTAGCTAACCTATAAAACGTTGATGATAGCCATGTGGTTGGTAACCCAGGCAGTTTTGTGTGTTTTTGTCTTGCAGGTCTTTGCTTAGTGTTCACTATGCAAACTGAAACCGCAACTCCGCGAATCAGGTGAGTGTGGGAGCAGGAAGTTGTGATTGTTTTGGCAGCACTTTATTTTATGGGTCTGTAATTTCTGATTTCTTAACTAACAATTTCCAAAACATTTCCTGAAAATAACCATGTAATTTGATATTCATTGTAGTTCAAGTACTTTTTGTATTAAATTTCCCAATAGGTACAGTAACATACATAATGCAACACAAAGCAGCATATTACAGTCAAGAAAGATCATGTATGAAAACAAACAAAACAAATCTGGTCACATGTAACAGCTAATTTAAATAAAATAAGCAAATTAAATAAAATTTCAGAGAAAAAAGGAAGATGCCGTATAATAAATAAAATGCAACTCAAAAATAACATGTATGGAATGCCACTTTTTCAAACCTATCAAACAAAATGTTACTGCTGGTGGTCACACAAGTATGGCAAATGAGGACATTTCCTGCACAGTAACAATTACAAAAGTGATGCAAATTATTAGTGTACAACAATCTGTGAGTCTAGAAAGTGCTGCTTTTAGAGTCTGGATCATATTGTCTTCCAAAAAAGGAAAGAACATATTCTGTAGAAAATAAACTGAAAAAACCTAGAAAAAAATCAACTGGACTTAGATTTCTAGGTCGAAGACGTTTCACCTCTCATCCAAGAGGCTTCATCAGTTCTGACTGACTGGTGTTGAGCCAGAGATATTTATCCCCCTCGGTGGTGTTTCAATCCTTTGAAGGCCAACAATGTCCTCTAATGACTGAGTTGTTATAGCCCAGTGGCGGTGAGAGTCGTTACCTGTCTTTGAATCCTCCCCTGTGGACCAACGCCTATTGTCCTGGTGGGCATATTTGGGCAGAGATCTCAAAACAGGATTGTAGATGGA